GGTCCTGTATTGACAAGTGACTGAACATTTGCGATTGTCATCGTTCTCTCTTTGCTTCTGAAGCAGATCCTGTTTACCGGTATGCTCAGCGGTAATGGACTTAATTGTACTGAGGACGTAGCCCGCTCAGTTCGAATCTCCGATTACTTAGGAAGCAAAATAAATGTTGCTTTATGTAGCCCCTACATGTCGGTGAACTACAGAATAAATGATCGATGATGATGATCCATAGCAAAACGGCGTTTTATTGTACATAAATCAACAAAATGGTTTATATTTATCGTATCATAGGTATAATCATTAGACAGGAGTCGTTTAATAAAGTGGGAAAAATTATTGTTTCTAAACTGAATAGCATTCGTCTTTGCAGTTACATCTACAGTAATTAGTTTCAAAGATATTCGTCACGATTTTAATGATTTCTTTTTTATGACACAAATAAGAGTTGGGCCAATTATTCTTCCCCAGGCTAGTTACATTATTAATTTGATTAATTTTGATAGGAGTATGCTAAAGGTAATTAAGAATAGACACCTAAGACGATTCTGGCTGTAAAGAGTACATCTTTACTAATAAAATATCCATTGAAGACATTCTTACACACTGAAGATAAGTAACATTACAAAGAATCTAAGTTACATTCACAAGAAAACACGATAAACATTGTTAATTCTAGATGTGGCGTGCGAAATGACACACAGTGATGGATAAGCGAACGCTTCACGTACATCGGAAGTATGCACTAAGAATCATTTGCTGAAGAATCAATATTTCCATCTCCATCCATATTTTCATGATACTTTTCATTTTGACATGTTACATATGATGGAGCCCAATTCAGATGCCCAGTGACCTGGCAAATTAACTTGAGTTTTGTCCTTTTAAAACGCATCTTCCTGCTTCCACAAAAATCTTAGTAAACACGACCTTCCTTTCCGTGATTTGCTCTTATAGTTCAATGATCAGGAAAAACTAACTGCATCGTCAATATTCGTATACTGTCCGGTACGGCAGTGAGGCAGAAAATCAACATTAGAACACGGAACTCTTCAGAAATTATCTTATCTGCACAACTCAAACAAGAGTTCGATGTTAGTTTCGATGGGTATTTTGCTTTTGTACATCAGGTTAGGTTAGGTTAGATTAGTTAGCTTAAGTTTGCTTATCTTATCTTAGGTAAAGTCAGTTTAGGTTAGGAAGGGTTAGTTCAGTTCAGTTTAGGTTGGGTTAGCTTCGGTTTGCTTAAGTTGGGTTAGGTTAGGTTTGTCAGATTACGGAACGATTTGTTTTCAATTACCCATCTCCTGACTCTCAGCATCGGTACGATTGGCGACTCTGCGATCTAAAACATGACAGTTCTTTACCCGTTGTTTTACATTGGTATGTAATTTAGTCTATCAGTCTAAGGATAGGACACAATTTAAAAGTGACTGTGAAGAAAGTGAACAAAATATTTGCACGTAACAGATAGAAAGTAAGAGCAGGATTAAGAAAATTGTATAAGGAACATTGTAACTCTTTTATCATTCATCGCGTAGAACTGCAATAAAGTTACTCATTTAGCACGCAAGGAGAAATGAGAACGGCATTGAAATCTTTAATTGGAAGGTATGAATAACAGACCACTTGGTAGATGGAACTATAATGTGAAGTGACTCATAAATTAGTAGAATGTGGGGGTGTAGACTAAATTCATGACTCATGATGGACATCTATTAACGGGATATTTTGAACACTGTAATGAAGATTTGGTTTACATGTTTTCACCTCGTGACCAAATATCAGTTTCTCAACTGCTTTGCCTAGTAAATAGCTACACTTTTGGTGCTTATTTGACGTACTGACACATTAGCCATAATTCCTTGTGCAATTTAAACATTCATGTATAAATTTCTAAACGACAAGGTTCTAATTAAACCGGTAATTAATTCATCGATACGTACAGTTCATGCATATTTGCTGTTATAACAAAAAATTACATTTATAAACGTCAACAATAGACGTGAATAAGGATTCCGAATTAGTTCTGGTAGCCTGTATGTCAAACATTTCACGGCTTAGCAAAAACTTGACTGTCGATCAGTGCCAGGGTCAGAACTGCTAAGAGTATCGTCGTTAGCAGAAAAATGTTTCATTTCTATCACTGACAGTGTATGGTTGTTTACAAATTGTTTTATTGCGAATGTGTGAAAACTACGGCATCTTTAATACGTATCTAGAGTGTAATACACAACAGTAAACTAACCTGGTCTTCTTTTTCACTGAAGTGAAAGGCAAATCAGTAAGAGTGGACCAAGTACTTTCTCATTCTACGCAACCACTTCTTTCAGAATATATACAAATTTAGGAGTTTATTACCAAATTTTAGACGGCCGTCTTCTGTGTTGTTGCGCCATGTCGTCCAGTAAAAGTTTACCGACGTTTCAAAGGTCCTTGATCCAGCCATCATCACGGCGACTTATCGCTCTAATGATGGAGGTAGCATGAGCACCACATGCACTGCCCATCTCATTCTTCTAGACTTCATCGCCCTAAATATGTTGGGGGAGAAGTACAGATTTTTAAGCTCATCATTATGCAGTTTTCTCCAGACCCCATTGTCTTCTCTCTTAGGCCCAAATATCCTCCTCAACACCCTGTTCTCAAACACCTGCAATCTGTGTATCTCCGTCAGAGTTGGAAACCATGGTTCACACCCATACAAAACAACTGGCAAAATTATTGTTTTGTATATTTTAATCTTTAAGTTCTAAGAAATCAGACAGGAAGACAAAATATTTTGAACTGCAAAATAGGATGCATTTCCTGTATTTAGTCTCCGCCAAATATCTAGGTGAATATCGTTTCAATTTGCATAATTGCTTATCGAATGAAGAATAATCTTACGCTTCCTTATATGTATCAGTATTTTACTATGTCTTCGCTTATAATAAGATATAAACTACTTATATTAATGGCCAAAAAGCATCATCACCAACCACTTTAAAGCCTTATTTTCGTATGTATTTAATTAACTGCCTTTTCTGTTCTGTTGGCATGGGATGTTTCCTGTAGCATGAAAACAATGCCATACACAAAGGGCCACATATTCTCGAGAGACAATTTTTTTTGGTTAAAACTTGTTAAATGTGCTTTGACTGAATATTCCCATGGACTGAATAGACTTTGTGGATAACTTCTTGGAGCAACAGAAAAATGTTTTCGATATCATAAACGTCTAATTTAGACACAAAATCAAAGTGTTAACACACACAAAACACAAAATGGAGAAGCCCCAGTCGACTTTTTGTGTACAATTATGAATATCCTATGTATTTACACTAGGGACTTAAAATGCTATTTTCGTTAATATCTCCTGTTTCATTTACTGTGTTTAAAAAAGTACAGCTTTATTTTTAAAGGGTACACTTTATTAATATCTGAACATCGCCCCGGGACGTATTTATTTACTTTTTCGGACAACTATAACTTTAGTAAGAATAACGTATCTATTTTACTACACTTGTGAAAGTGAAACGATGAAAGGCGATATTATTAACATCTGAACATCACCGCGGGCCGTAATTTGTCCTCTCCTGTTATGGATCGTCATTTTGTAGTAACTTCACTAGGTGGATTCAAACGGCGAACGTGTATTGTGAACATCTATATTAAAATACTTTAAATATCTGTTTCTGCACGTTTAATATCATATCGGAGGAAACTCGCCATTATGATTCTTCTGTGCTCAGCTTCGAAGACATTTTACAGCATTCATATTTTCTTACAGCAAACGGGGTAAGGTTAGGTTGCAAATGAACATCACACTAAATATGGCAAAGACTGAAATAAAAGGCGATGGAATGTAGGCCGCTTAGAATTTGTCAAGCCGTTCCTCAGGTCTATATCATTCATCTGCAGTAGATCTATGTTCAAACAGTTAAATACACAGCCGATTTACGTTAGACTATAATGCTGATAAGACAGTACAAACTGTAACCTGGAACCTCAATTACAGCCAAATGTCAACGACATAATTCTGTTCAGCTGTTTCGTGCCCTTAATGATTACGTCTCTTACCAATGAAGTCCCTCTACCATGTTCTTTCTTCCTTGAATTTATTCTCCTTATCCTTCTTAAATGGCGTCTCTAACGAAACAGTTTTGTTTGCAGCTGATTTTTTCTTTATCAATACGCTCGTATTTCCATAATCACTGGATTTTGTGTTTATTAGGTATCAACTAACCAATTCTCTTCTATCCCATCAATTTTGGAGCCATCAGTATAGACATGAAGCCATGATTCCTTTGGGTATTTGATGTTGATAGTTTCTTGTGCTAGGGCCTTCATAATTTTTGGATTTGTTAACTTTTTTGAGACTTATTTGTTGGAGATCAGTGTAAAACTCAATGTAATCTGTCTCAACTGGGTTCTGTATCTGTAGTAGTATTTGTGGTTTATTTGTGGATCCCAGCTCAGATTTTAATTCCGTTGCAAATTGTATAAATCCTTCCTGTGTCTTTAATTTCCGTTCACTTAAGCAATAACTTTTCCAGTATTCTTCTCCTGATATTCTGATTAGCTTTTCGTATTGAGTAACTGTTTTTTCGTTTATTAACTTCTGTATTGTTCTATTACTCGTAGGAAAAAGCATGGCAGTAACGGGAGTTGTTTTTACTGCACCGGTGATAAGTCGTCTTTTTTAATTTATATAAATTTTGTTGAGAAGCAGTGACGAGGGGTTCACAACAGTAGGTTATTGTAGGGAGGATGTACATTTTATATGTAGTGTTAATGGTAGAACGAGCACAGTCCCATTTATCGCCATGATGCAAAGATGAAGATTCGTTTGCCAAGTTTGTAGACCACTTTGCCGTCAGAGACGTTGTCCAGGGTGCACCATTACAGTCCTCCTGGCCGTCATAGAACAGCTTTTGACGGGGAAATTGAAGCCATTCTCATAGCAGTAAATCAGTTATGCCACTTCTCAGAACGCTTTTTAACAGCTGTATTACTTTCAGATTCTAAGGCTGCAATCCAGTCAATCGGACCGACAAGCGCCCCCAAATCTATAGAAATTCAAGAGTGCCGCAAAATTCTTCACAGAACCATAATATTACAGTGGATACCAGCCCATTGCCAAATACTTGAAAACGAATTAGCTGACCAACTAGCCAAGAAAGGGGGTAAGGTACTGCAAATAGATAACAAAGCATCATCTTTCCACTCCATTCAATTCAATTATTCATACGACAAGCCTTGAGGAACAAACACTTTCAACAGTTGTCAGCACAAATTTCAGAGAAACAATGGAAGGAATCATTACTGAGCATCCCAGATTGACCCAGGCGGGACGCAGTTGCAGCATTCCGATTATATACAGGACACGATTGTTTAGCCAAGCACCTCCACCGGATTGGCATCTATACCGAACCATCCTGTGTTATTTGTAACCAAGGAGAGGAAACGGACAGTCACCACCTACAACACTGCCCAGCTTTGAAGAGCAGCAAACTTTATGATCGCTACTGGGAAGCAAGATGTGTTGTGGGCCAAAGATGAAATTCTATGTACCTGCTATTTGACATAAATAAATAAAATTCTCTTCTAACAGCACCCGAAGGATAAAAAATCAGATCCTAAAGCTCGCCACTGGTTACAATCCTGGCCCAGTTTAATCCACATAGTATCCTTTACACCTACTTTCATGAGATTTTTCTTAAGGTTAACCTACCAGCTCCTCCTCGGTCGACCGGTAGAATGTTTTCCTCCAGATTTCTAAAAATAAAATTTCCTCTTTAGACTATTTCTTGTCTCTCCATTCTAATTGCATGTTAAGCCCATTTTAGAATTCTAGATATCATTGTACTAATTAACAATACTATGAGACAAGTTTCATATAATATCCTACAATGCCTAATATTGAGTGTTAACATTGAACATAAAATATAAATGCAAAAGAAGTAAAAAAACTTACGAATACTTACTTTGATATTCAGTTTCAGACATAAAATAAAACATAGGATTTTTAATGGCATAGAAGAATGGTAAATAATATAAGGACAGGAAAAAATTTCCATTCCTGGATCTAGCGATAAAAAACAAATCTTTGTAAGAGATAATATGCAATAGTAATATACAGGCCCAGTCGAAAGTTACAATCATTTCACTTACTAAATGCAAATCAATATCAATCCGTAAGTCAACATTTATAAGCTTTCTTTACGACTGCGAAGTCGAGCGTATAAGGAAAGAAGTCTCAGAAAGATATGTTTTCTATTTGTTATCACTATGTATTTCGGAGCCCTAATACACAAACAATACGGTACTGGAACCACGTCCAATAGCCTACTTCATTTCCCTGAAAATAAAAATTATGCAAGATCTTGTAGTGAAATGTAACATCGAACATTTTGACAAAGGGTTCATTTTAGTTCTTGTACCGGACGCTTATGCTTGGAGACCAATTTTATTCAATCTCTTGTGTGTTCATAAACTTAATGCTTACTTTGTTACGGTACTTTTAGAAACCAGTCACAGGTGACTAATGTAGATCTATATTGTCTCTAAGGAGAACGCTGGTTCCCCTTCTAAGAAACGCTTCACTGCGGGGGCGACTCAATGGCTTCACAGGGCTCGATGGTAAGTGGCATGTAATTAGTCTGAAACACGGAGTATGAAATTCTACTTGGGTACAAATTAATACGTACTTTCACAATTTAATGAACCATTAAGGTGAAATTACATAAACTTATAGCTTTCATGTTGGAATGCTGCCCTGAACTAACGCGGCTGATCGCTCGAGATTTTATAAGTGGAAAAAAGTTGTTTTAAACCAAAGTCCAACACGAAAGAGAAATGCTATCACAAAGCAGATACGTTCAATTTTAATGAATGTCTAATACAGGGAACTCTCGGTTTACGAACGAGTTCCGTTCCAATACGTTGTTCGTTATGTGTATCTTGCATTCCTGAGCTTTTACGATACGTATCGTATACGTTAGCAGCCATTTTAAAACGTTAAAAACATGTACTAAACATCGACTGGTCTATAAAATACGTTTTATTATAATGTATGTATGCGTTATGGTTTATCGTATAAGATACGTAACGTAAAATAAAATAAAAGATAAGTTTTATTAACCAAGAACAGTTCAGTATAATTATCATATAATAATTTTCCAATAATTATTTTCATAAATATATTTTTTAAAAGTTTCCTTATTTAAATTTTACAATTATGTTCACTATACGTTTGAAATTTCGTTTTTTAAGGAACTCTATTGGCGACTTTAAGAAATTTCGAATGAATTTTGACGCTCGTTATAGCGAACATCCGTAAACCGAGAGTTCCCTGTATGTGAACTTCATATTATGATCAACACGTGAGTAGCTAAAACTTTATAAGCCTCTTGGCCCACATCTTAAATAAAGTAAGGTTATGAAAATTACAATTCACATAAATGTGGATTGTTGTCTATTAAATCAAGATCGTGTGATACAGCATTCCCGGTTGAATTATTTTGTGATTTATTAATCTAAAAGAGTGTGGAAACCGAAGATGAAGAACTCAGAGAAATTTCGGATATATTTTTTTGGTCTCAGTATCGTCTATATAAATTTTATAGTTATGGTTGTAGTTTATGGGGTGGGCGAAACTCAGATACAGACATGTGTACTGGTTGTATTACACTGAGAAATTAGCACACGGCGGCACTTTTATCTCCTCTTTATTATTCAATTGCGATGAAATCTAATGCTTTGTTTGCGGCTGACAAATTGCAGTAAGTAACATTCGGATTGCAGCAATGGCAGTAGAAACACAGTGAGGACAGGTGAAGTCGTTCTGCCCAATCCGTGCATTAATCACATGAAACTGGCTTCTTGTTAATGCCAAGCAATTAAATGAGTCATCCCTAATCATTAATCATACAGCAGAGAGTATATACAGTGACGTCATGCAATCCTTCCCTCGCAGTCAGAATGACGGTTATGCATGTAATAAGGCCATTTTCCGCTAAACAAATTTATTAGGATAATGTGACAGGAGTGTCGAGATAAGAGGTACAAAATCATATTCAACCCTGTCAGCAAAGTTCTCTGCTGAGGGTAGGTCTTATCTGAAATAAATATATGTATAGCGGTTGAACATTGCGGTCAGAAAAATGGCGTTAATGCGTACTTCGTATTATTATCAAAGAAATTACGAGGCAAGGCTAACAAAGCAGAACATATCCCTGACCATTTACGTTATATTCTGAAAACTTTTACTCTATTTTTCTGTGCACTTTATTGAAGTAACGGAAGAAAACCATGAAAATCTTGCAAAATATAATGGATAAAATGTTGACAGCCAAACACTACTACACTGGTAGATATTTGTGGGTCTACACTGAACGTCGTGGTGCAGAAGTTATTAAATTTTCTTCGTAATTGTAAGTCCCAGGTTCTAATCTCGCATAGACAGAATCTATTCTGACTGAGAATTAAAGTGTTTTTCTCAGTCATTTCAGAAAATAAGTTATTGGAAAGCCGACAGTAGCCATAGAGTGGTTAAAGCACTCCTGCATCGTATGAAGAAGTTCACGGGTTAAATCTCGGCATCGAGACAGGCTATATTAATTGTGGATTTCTTATTTTTCAACAGGCCCTCCAACACTTTAAATTAGACTAGATCTCTTCATTCCGCATACTTTTCAATTTATCATGCTCTGATTATCATATCTAAAAATTTAAAGCGTAATAAAATGAATCAAACAACAAAAATGCAATAGCTGATCGTTCATTACGTTAATGTGGCTGAAGTTGCATATGTCATTGATTCTCAACCTTTTTTTAAATCCTCGGACTGTAAACGTTTCTGCCAGAACCTAATGGACCTCTTCTTCTGTATCGTACTGCACTTCAAATGTTCCAAATTTGGCTTTCGTAAAATCAAAGTGTGTACACTAATCGCGGTCTTACAGACACAGGCCATTTAAACGGGCTTTCATTTAAATTAGGTTATGTCGTAGGCTTTGCCGCAGTAGCAAGGAAATCGAATGTATAGCATGTTCCAAAAATACGTATACACATGTACACATTGGTGGTCGCTTGTGAGTCAGTTGTTGATCAAGCTAACGGTGGACATTTTGAGCACTGCACTAGGGTCACTAATTCACTAAGTGCCTTTTCTGAGGTATATAATGGTTTAGTTTTTTTATGTTTTTATTTCATACATTGAATGTACGCATACAGTTTTGAGACATTCTGCACTTACAGGGAATTGCACTCGTAACCCCACGTGACTGCTTGCGCTATGGCATGAATTTCCAAAGCCGGTCTGAATTTCGTTGTGTTTGCTCTGAATGGTTCTGAGTTTGTACACATTCGATTATTGTGGAGAAAATCTTTTAATTTGCATTAAAGACGCTAATTAAAACACGAAAACAAAATAAATAAATCAATAAAGGAAGTGAAATGATGGAGTATGTAACTGCTAGTGATCCGAGTGCGATGCACCAAAAAGAACAGTAAAATAACGGCGACTGATTATTTGAGGATTGAGAGGGATTTTGGGAAGTGCTGGACAGTCAGGCCTATTTTGCGTGTTTTGTTGTAGCGAAAATTCATGAAGTAAACGTCAGTAAACCAAGGAGTAAATGCATCTGATCTTGTTCATGATAAAACCTATAACATGCATCAAAACTAAAGAAAGAGGTATTTTTAGAAATAAAGAGACTCTAGAACATGCGATGGTTGATGGAGAACAACGATAGGTATAAATTAATAAAGGGCTAATGTTAAAAATTTTATTCGACATCGAACTCATTCAAGACATCGAAGTTTCACAGTTTACGTTCCCAGGCTGCGGCGCAAAAGAGGTGTGAGTTGATAAACGCGTGATACCTCACGTGAAAGCCTTATTGTTGCCCTACGTCTTACATGTTCACCGCGAGTGTGCATTAATTATCTAATTTTGTTTCTAATTGAGCGATCAATTATACTCCAAGATGAATATCACACACGCAATCTCCCACTTAAAAAATTGTTCTAAAAAGGTAAGTGGGAATACCGCACGGTCATACTCCTGATGTTCGTGGTCTGTTGTGACTATAATCTTATATCAGTTTCTTATAGTCCCATGCGTGTTACATGTCTCGTCCATCTCTAGGTCCTGGAATTTTATTAAGAGCACAAATTATGAGGTGCCTCGCCTGTTTTCTTAGTCGTTCTGTAATTTTATTTCTTTTACAGTTATAATAGAACGTCGCAGTGGAACCGTTGGCATTCCAGCTACGTACATGGAAGCCCCAGGTTCATTGTCAGTCCGCAGACCGCCTAACGTGACTGAGAATTTTAATAGTTTCTCTCAATCATTCCAGAACAATTCCAAGACTGTAATTTAAGTTAGGCCGTGGCCGATTTCTTTCAGATTTGTTATTCGTTAATTTTCATATATTTAGACGATATATAGTTTGAGCTGCTGACATACAAAAAATTTCTCTCAGGTAAAAATATTCTCGTCTTCGCCAAATTCTTTAGATACCTCTGCGCAGAGAACGTTCCTCCCTCGAAGTGAGACAACACGAATTTACTTTTCTGCTTATTAAATTTTCTGGTTTG